GTCGTTAAGCGTCTGCCTTCAGCTCGGGTCATGATCCCAGGGTCCTGGGATCGAGCCCCACATCGGGCTCCCTGCTCGGCGGGAAGCCTGCTTCTCCCTCTCCCTCTCCCACTCCCCTTGCTTGTGTTCCCTCTCTCGCTGTGTCTCTGTCAAATAAATAAAATCTTAAAAAAAATCCTTTATTAATTAGAACGTGGAGGTGGAGACATCGTTTTCTTTAAAGTTTGAGTGACCTACATTATTAGTTTTGATGATACCAGACTCAAGGGGTAGGGGTCGTTATCTGAGTTATTATTGTTTGTACAGAGAGGTCACAAGGAAGAAAATATCTCACATACAACAGGCGAGAGACTCAGGAGGCATCTTCTTGATTTATGAACTGTTTTTTTGTAAACATGTTTCTTGGCAAAATCCTAAGGAAAATGTTGGTGTGCTGTGAAGCCAACAGCACCTCAACAGCAGTGATTTCCTCCGCCTCAAATCAAGCAGGTTGTGGGGGAGAATTTGGTGACCAAGTATTACTTTCATTTTTAATTTCTTCCTCCATTATAATGAATGATACTAAAAACTACGATTTTTAGCTCTTTCTCCCAAAGCAGAAGTTCTCGACCCAGAGAGATTTTGCCTCTCAGGGGATATTTGGCAATGTTTGGACATATTTTTGCTGGTCACAGCTGGGTGTGGGGTGCTTTGGCGCCTCATGGGTAAAGGTAGGCATGTTGCTAAACATCCTGCAAAATACAGGGCAGCCTCCCTCCTCAAACAAATCAATGATCTGCCTCCAAATATCAATAGTGCAGCATCCTAATCATCCATTCATTTCTTCACTCAACAATTATTTATTGAGAACTTACTGTGTGCCCCTCACCACACTGATATTGAACAAAATAGGAAAAATCCCTACTCTTGTCTAGTCTGCGTTTTCATAGGAGGGATAGATCATAAATGAGAGACATAGAATGATACAAATATGAAGGAGAAAAAGCTGGAAAGTATAGAGCAGTGAGATTGGACCCTTGCCTTGCTCGTGGAGGTGGGTATATTTGTCATGATTATGGATGGGGAAACTGAGTCTAGAAAGGGGAAGTGCTGTTCAAGGGGGACACCTGCTCCTAACAGATAGAGCTGGGATTGGACGTTGGATGTGTCTGGTGCTTGAGGAGAAATTTCCACTTGTGCTGTGCTATCTATTATCACCAGAAACTAGGGTTGTCCTTGTTGCGTTTTGGTGGGATTCCTCTTTCTCTAACTTGCTGATAACCACCTCCTGCCCTGCCCAAACCGTTCAATTTTAGCATCTATATTTCTGTTAGTTAGAACATTCCCTGATTACATCCTTTTGCCCAGACTTGTTATCCTCATTACTTAAACCACGTTCAAAGTGAGCTATCCACAGTTTAGGAAATAAAGTGAAAAAAGTCCCTTCTTTTATTCTACATGCCTCTTTACCATAGCCTCTCCCTCTCCTCCTCTCATAGCTAACCTTCCTTAAAAGGTGCTCCATTCATGCTGTCTCTCTCTACGCTCCCCCAATTTACTCGTAATAGGGCCTCTCTACTCTCACTCCACACACACTTGTTTTCAACATCCACCAGTGACTCCATAATCCCTGTTTTTATAGACTTTTTCTCTTTGCCCTTTCTTACTTGACAGCCTCCCAACATTTGGTGCCCATGACTTTCCTTTTCCTGTGTCAGCCATACTTCTTTTGACTTCCATCTCTTCGATTCCCTTCTTCCTTTTTGACTATTCCTTCTAAGTAACCCTCATGGGTTTCTCTTCTCTTCATCCCTTTATAAATTGGTGTCCTTCAGGATCTTGTCCGCAGTTTTATTTTCCTTTTAACCATGGTTTCTATGGATTTGTCATGTAGATTAATCCCCAAGGTATATAACATACTCTGCAATATGCTGAGATGTGAACGTGATTGAAATGCAGTGAGAGTGTGATGTGCAAGTGTGAGGGACATCTCTGATTAGTGATCCTGGCCAGCCACCCAGAATCCACATTGCTGCACTCAGCTGAGTGAATTTTACAATACAGACTCGCCGCCGCCCGCCCCCAGCCCCTTGATGACCCTGAGAGCTCCATAATTGGTCTCTCTATTCTCAGCTTTAGCTCCATCCTTTGCTCTCACCATTTTCATCCTTCTAAGGCAAACCTGATCAGGATCTGATGTCTACCCCCTTGTATCGGTCCATTTGGGCCACAGTGACAAAATAACATGGATTGGCTGGTCTATAAACAACAGAAACTTACTTCCCCCAATCCTGGAGGCTGGGAAGTCCAAGATCAAGACACCAGCATGATTGGGTAGAGTACTCTTCCCGGTTCATAGATATCTGGTTGTCTTCTTGCTGTTTCCTCACATGGTGGAAGAGGTGAGGGAGCTCTCTGGGGTCTTTTTTATTAGGGCACTAAGGACCTAATCACCCCCCAATTTCCCCACTTCCAGATACCATCATAATGGAGATGAGGTTTCAACATATGAATCTGGAGACAGAAACATCCATCTGCAGCGCCCCTTCATCTTCAGAACATAATTCATGTCCGGCATCTTTTGCACAGCTATCCTGTTTGCCTGCAATGCCCTCCCTCCCCACTCTGACTCCACAGCGTTGACCTTGGGAGGTCTTGCTCGTCCTGCAAGGCTAACCTTAAGTACTGTTTCCCAGCTTTCTGGGCAGAGTACTATCTTATATATGCCCCAATGCCCTCCACTTCCAATTAGATTGTGTATTCCTTTAGGGTCAGGAGAAGAAAACTCAACAGCAAAGTTCCTGTCCTCAAGCATGCTGTTCTACTTATTATCTACTGATATCTCATTGTAAAGTTTCCCTACTCTCTCCATTACAAATTACTGAATTTCTGTCATTAATTTGCTGTGTGATCCTGTGTATTTCACTTAACTCCTCTGAGCTGTCATTTTATCAGCTTAAATTCTGTCAAATAATGTTCCTATTATAACTCAAAGAAATGTATCAAATTCTCTGAGCTCTCCAGGGGAAAAGATGTCACAAACCAAAGATGAAATAAATCGTCACTCATTAAAGCAATATTTTTATTATCAAACATTGTATTCAAACTTCAACAAGGTGAAACTATTTCCAAAGAAAAATAACCCCTCCTTATATATCTTTAAATCTTGACACCACTTATAACATAACAAAGCTTTATCGTGTAATTTTTTTTCTTATGCTCCCTTCCACTTCTCTTTGCATTTTTGAAAAATTTAAGATTCATCCTTGCTATTTTACAGAGCTCGCCCCCCCTCCCAACTGAAAGTTTCATGACAGAGAGGTGAGGAGATAAAAGGTGACAATTAAAATGTCTTGATCATGATCCAAACTTTTCTCATGCCATCAACAGCACTTACTGTCCCAACCTGGGGAGAAGTGAAGCATTGAGGGAGGGATTAGAGGAAAAGAGATGTTAGATATGAATGCCAGGTACCTTTATTTACTTCATTACTCCAAGTTTTGGAATTAAAATCATCTTTGAAAAATCTGTGATCTCTGTGAGATGGGTAAATGCAAGTCAATGAATAATTGTAAGAGAAAATAATGCAAGAGGAAGATTTCAGTTGGGGTATCTTTCCCTCTCCACACTTTTGTGTCCCTTTGACACTTCCATGGAATATCTCCATGCGTGGAAAACCAATGTTTAGATATTAAGGGTGGGGTGAATAAGGAGAGCGAACTAGAATTTACTGATTACAATCCCTGTGCTATGTATTTATATAATTTATTTCACTTAAACTTTCCAACAACTCTGTGTAGTATATTTACCTATTTTTGAGTTGAACACACTGGAGCTCCCTATACAGCTAGTAGTAAGTAGAGCCAAAATGGAAACCTAGGGTTTTCTAATTCAAACACCATATCACACTGATGCCCTGTTATTTAGAAAATGAATGTCCTGACCTCAAGCAATTTATAATCCAGAAAAGAAATGCAAATGGCTCTGTAAAAAGCAGAATAGAGAGACCATGTATGTGTCTTATTTTAAGTACTGTAAAAATAACTCCATCTACATGATTATGAAGTTTCAGCATCCTTGCTAATACAGCACCTACTTTTTAAAAAAATTTTTATTGTTATGTTAATCACCATACATTACATCATTAGTTTTTAATGTAGTGTTCCATGAATTCATTGTTTGTGCATAATACCCAGTGCTCCACGCACAACGTGCCCTCTTTAATACCCATCACCAGGCTAACCCATCCCCCCACCCCCTCCCCTCTAGAACCCTCAGTTTGTTTCTCAGAGTCCATTATCTCTCATGGTTCGTCTCCCTCTCCGATTTCCCCCTCTTCATTCTTCCCCTCCTGCTATCTTCTTCTTTTTTTTTTCTTAACATATATTGCGTTATTTGTTTCAGAGGTACAGATCTGTGATTCAACAGTCTTGCACAATTCACAGCGCTCACCATAGCACATACCCTCCCCAGGGTCTATCACCCAGCCACCCCCTCCCCCCCCCCCCCACCACTCCAGCAACCCTCAGTTTGTTTCCTGAGATTAAGAATTCCTCATATCAGTGAGGTCATATGATACATGTCTTTCTCTGATTGACTTATTTCACTCAGCATAACACCCTCCAGTTCCATCCACGTCATTGCAAATGGCAAGATCTCATTCCTTTTGATGGCTGCATAATATTCCATTGTGTATATATGCCACTTCTTCTTTATCCATTCATCTGTCAATGGACATCTTGGCTCTTTCCACAGTTTGGCTATTGTGGACATTGCTGCTATAAACATTGGGGTGCATGTACCCCTTCGGATCCCTACATTTGTATCTTTGGGGTAAATACCCAGTAGTGCAATTGCTGGATCATAGGGTAGCTCTATTTTCAACTTTTTGAGGAACCTCCATACTGTTTTCCAGAGTGGTTGCACCAGCTTGCATTCCCACCAACAGTGTGGGAGGGTTCCCCTTTCTCCACATCCCCGCCAACATCTGTCATTTCCTGACTTGTTAATTTTAGCCATTCTGACTGGTTACAGCACCTACTTTTGAGTTGTTTTTTCCTTGACAGTAATGTAGAAACGTAGAGATACTATTTGCGGACACTTTTTTTTTTAGCAGATGATGTAACATATCACACAGATTTTTAAGTCCTCCAGATTTAATGCCTTCACTTGCTATGCAAATTCGGTAAGTTATTTAATCTCAATCAGACTCAGTTTCCACTTTTTAATTTGGAAGGTGATACCTATTTTATAGAGTTGCTATAAATATCAAAGAGATGCTTGATTCATGCATAGTTCCCAAAAATGATGGTTGTGATGATATGTGGCAGCCGATATCATTGGCTTGTCTTTTTTTTTTTTGAGAGAGAGAGAGCGAGAGAGCACAAGCATGAGCAGGGGGAGGGGGAAGGAGAGGCGGAGGGGCAGAGGGGAGGGGGAGGGGCAAAGTGAGAAGGAGGCTCCCTGCTGATCAGGGAGCCCAATGCAGGTTTCCATCCCAGAACCCCGAGATCATGACTTGAGCCAAAGGCAGATGCAGACACCCCTGGCTTGTGTTTTGATACATTTTGAGGCATTCTGGAGTTCTTTGGTGGTAGGTGGGGCCATGGCCCCAGATGGAGCCTCTGGACTCCCTGACCAACACTGTTGGTCAGCCTGATAGGTGCATCAAAGTGCTAAGTATTGGGCATGCAGAGGGGAGATGCCAGGGTCAGGGAGATTCTGGAAAGAAGGAATCAAGGATTTTACTAAAAGTACTTTTCAAAGTCAAGTCAAGGAAATGGCAGGGACATACAGGAAGAAAGTGGGAAAGGTTGGGATGGGGGATGAACATTTGTTTCTCCCAAACTGAAAATCTCCAAAAAGACCCTTCTTGGACCAATAGTCACAAAATTTTCCTCTTAGTAAGAAAATCTCTTTGGAAGGACTTACCTTACAAAACACAAAATCACAAAGCGATGGCACATGTTTTCATCCCCCTTATTTCATCCTTTAATGTAATACATTTAAAAAAGAAGTTGTTTCCCATAAACCTGATTAACTCTGGAGAGAGTCATAATCCATCTAACCAATCCAAATGAAGGTAAAAGGAATAATCAGGCTCCCATTATGCAAAATGGTGCTCAATTAATTTATTGCACTGCACTGAATAATAAGCTGTTAGGCTCCACATTACTTTCTTCACGTTAGATCAAATAGCTTATTACTGCCGGAGCTTATTTCATATCGCATAAAATTTGGATATATTACAATGGAGTAGATATTAGTCCATTATAAGAGACATCCTTAAGTACTTCATTTATAAGATCTCTCCATTTGGAAAATGGCAAGGGAGAAGAAGAATTGCAAACAAGGTAATGGACAGAGGGGGATTTCTGTGCCTTGCCCACCCACCAGCTCTGCGGTGGGTGGGCTGGGGGTTGCCACACTGGGCTGGGGCCTTAGAGAAAAGCAGTGTTTGCAGCGGGAATAAAATCCAAAGAGAGTTTATGTTCCTTGTCAGGGAAGTGTTGACATTTTAATTACTTTCTGTTTTCTTTGGAGTTACATTTAAGAATTGGAAGCCAGTTAGAAAACTAAGAATTGGCTTTATTAGAAATCAGATGAATTGACACGCAGCCATGAGCTGGAGAAAGTCCAGAGTCAGCTCTTGACAAACTCAAGTCTCCAGCAGGACCCGGAGAGCCAAAAAAACTCAGCCATTGGAAAACCAACCAGAAGAATTCCTCCTCGGGTCTTATCTTCTCGGAGAGCGGACCGGGCCTCTGTGCAATCTAATCTTTTCCGGCCACGGGACCCCTGTGCGTCACTTTGCTGGTTTTTTTTTACTTTAAACTTTGGTCTCCTAGGGATTTGTGAGGATATGTAGAACAAGAATGCAAAGCAAAAAGGGCACGATCACGGAGAGTTGGGATGGGTTGGGGAAACTGGTGCGTTCAGAACGATTTAGTTTTGAAGATAATCGGATGCTTTGGGTATTTCATAAAGGAAAACTGCCTGAGGATATGTAGAACAGCTTCAGGAGATTGATAGACTCACACCCTCTCTCCTTGCACCTAGAGTTGCCTCCAATTGAGCAAATATTTAGCAAACCCAGGGTACCTACATGTGTTCTGGGATCAGCAAATTTAAAAAAGCACAACTCCGATCAGCCTGTTTGTTGGTGGTGCCCCAAAGGGTGTCGCCTGAGGACAGAAGCTCTCTGTGTCCCTTCCCCACACTCCTCAGCTTTCCTCTGCTGAGAAAGTGCCTTCCAGGGACAGTATGGAAATGCCATTAAGCTTAGACCAATCAATTCGGTGATAAATGGATCACACCAAGTTCCTAACAATGATCTCCTATCTACTCTGTGCCAGGAGCTTTAAATACACTATTTGAATTTTCAAAAAAACCTATAAGATATTATCTGTGCCACAGATATTGTTATTTCTGTTTCACAACTGCAAACTGAAGCTTGAGCAGGTTCAGCAAATTCATAAGCTATACACACTTTTACATAAGACATTTCAAATATGTGCACGAGAAGATCAAACAGTATAATGAACCTCTAGGCTTATTGTACTTCACCCACTCAGAGTCAGTCTTTTTTGTCAGCATTCACTACACCCCATTTTCTGGAAGCAAGTCCCAGACATTGTGTCCTCTCCTCTGTGTATCTTTCAGATGTGTCTCTAAGAGGTAGAGATTCTTTAAAATAAAACAACCACAATATCTTTATCACTCACACCCTGAAAACATTAACAAGAATTCCCAACAGCAAGCAATACACATGTTTGCTGATTCCCGATTGTCTTGCAATATAATTTTTTTTTAAGTGTGTTTGAATCCAGATCCAAACACCATCCCTGGACTGTGATTGCTTGATGAGTCTCTCATGCCTCTTTAAATCTGTAGGTTCCCTCTTCTCTAATTTTTTTCTTGGACTTCTTGGTTAAAGAAACGGGGTTGTTTTTCCTGAAGATTTTCTAACAGTCTGAGTTTTCTGAATTCCATTTGTTGAGGTGATCTCAGATATATTTATCATCTTGTATTTTGCACTTCCTGTAAATTTACAGTTAGAGCTAGAAATTTTATCAGATTCTGGTTCCATATTTTTTGCAAGACTAGGTCATAAGTAGCGGCATAATTTCCATAAGTGAGAATGTATGTGTGTATGTGTAAAGTTATCAACTATTAAGGATTTTTGCCTAGAGTCAGTCTTTCCTTAGCTATTGCAAAGTTGCCATATTCTAATTTTGTGGTTTCAAAAAAAGAGAAATTATTTTTTAGAGCAGTTTTAAATTCACTGTAAAACTGAGTGGAAAGGACACAGAGTTCCCAAGTATCTCCACCCCTCCACCTTTAGTCTCTTCCACTATCAACATCCACCATCATGGCGTTGTGTTGTTATGACGAACGAAACCACACTGACGCATCCTTCTCCCCCAGAGTCTGTAGTTTACATCAGGGTTCACACTTGGGGTTGAACATTCAGTGGGTTTCAACAAATACATACGGATGATTTCTTTTTCACTTACTAACCAGAATACTCCTTTAAGGAGAGACTTCCCCCACATTCCATAGGTGGTTATATGAAGTTCATATAAGAAACCCAGGATAAATGATTTTTCTTTCCCTTTATCTACCAGTTTGCAGAATGAGTTGGTTCTTTCTGGGATCGTCTGAAGTGAACATAAATTCCTGTACGGTTTTCACTGTTAGTATCACTAAGAGCTCATGTTTTTAAACATGTTTGGTGTGTTTCAGTGTTCTACTATACATGCAGGTATACGTGTGTGTGGATACACGTGCATATGCTAATAACTCAGGGGTAAAGTTCCAGGTCACCGATGTCTATAAATCTACCTTATTTTGCTGCCTCAATTTTAAAAAAGTAATTCTTAATGTAGTTTAAAATTTTATCTCTTTTGCATTTACTGACTCTTATAAAGATTCCCCTGAGTCTCCGAGGATGGTAGAAAACCTTGCTTTGTTACTAGAAAAACATAAACAGCTATTTATAGAGACATAAAAGCAGGAAAGGAAGAAGGAAGGAGGGAGGAGAAAAGAAGGAAGAAAAGAAAAACAGAGCAAACAAATGAGCATAAAAGATAAGCCAAGTAATTCATGGGCTATTGCGTAGTCTGGGAAAATGATTGTAGTGAATTTATTTATATAGTGGCATGTGATGTTATTGTGAAATAGTTAAGCAAGAGGCCTTGAGATTTGGGCTGCTTGGGTCAAATCTCCAGTTCAGATACCTCCTAGTTGGGTTGGCTTGTGCCTCGGCTTTCTTATCAGTGCATCAGGGCCAAATCAGGCCAGGCCTGTAAGGATAACATAAACGAATACATATAGAGCACTTAGATTGCTTCAATAAATGCTCAGTAAATGCTAGTTGATTTTGTCCTCGTTATGATGGTGATGATGGTGGTGATGACGATAATGATGTATAAATATGTGGATGGCAAAGAAGTGTCTCAGACGTGAAGAGCAAGGGGCACCTGGGTGGCTCAGTCGGTTAAGCATCTGCCTTTGGCTCAGGTCATGATCCCAAGGTCCTGGGATTGAGCCCCGCATCGGGCTCCCTGCTCAGCGGGAAGCCTGCTTCTCCCTCTCCCACTCCCCCTGCTTGTGTTCCTGTTCTCACAGTCTCTCTGTTGAATAAATAAATAAAATCTTAAAAAAAAAAAAAAAAGAAAGGAAGAAAAGAAGAGCCAAATAGATTTGCTGAGTAACTACCAGGGGCAGGTACTGAAGTAGCATCTGTATTATATATAACGTATAATAATTTCATAGAGTATATATGAGTTGTTATCAACCTTAATATATTTTTAAATCTATAATCATTATTTATTATTTATTCTAGCACAGTAACAGGCATGGGGAAGGAATACACTCTACCCTTTTTGTGAATTGAGCAGTCCTGTTAGGTTTCGCTAACATTTGCTGAGAACTTTTATAAGACAGATGAGGCTACGGTGCTAGCAAAGAACAGAACTTTAATATTCTGTAAGTAGAGCTTAATGGGCAAACCCCGGTAAACGTGTTCAAGCAGTGAAGTGGGCAGTGAGGCGCTAGTGAATCACACAATTCTGGAATTGTCCATGGCAAATCAATATCAATATTCACCAAAGTTTTGTCCCTACACAGGAAAAGAAGGAAAGAAAAGAAGAACAATTTTCGAATCACTCCTCCAACCACGGAAATGATTTTAATTACCAATTCATCTGTTGGCAGACTCTTCTGGCAGATGTACCTGCAACTTGGAAAGCTAACAAATGAACTGATTCCTTACTCCAGAGTTGACACTGATAGTGCTTGCTGAATTTGCTCTCAGAAAAGAATCCTGGGCAACAATACATCTGGCACTCTGCTCGAGGAATTTGTCATGTCGTTGACATGTTCAGCCTCCATTGTCCACACCACCCCGACAGCAGGTCCTTTCTATTTCAAAGAAATTGCAGTCTGAATTAATATAATTAGAATGTAACTGCTATTCACTGCACAAACTCCTCATTTCCAGGAGTACAGATCTGATAACGTGTCTGTGCGCAAAATCTTCCCAATGATGGCTGGAGGGGAGCACGCCGATAATACCACGACAGAAGAGACACCATTTCATCTGCCTTTTTAAGCGCCAACTATGGGAATCTAGGAGGAGAAGAAAACTGTGCTATCTTTGGCATGTCTAAATAGAAATATCCTTCAAATTTACCAGCCTATATAGATTTTCATAAAATATATAGAGTGTCTGAAGTAAGAAAAAAAATGAAATGGGAAAGATTGCCTATCTTCCAAAAGACCGCTATATGAGGTAGAGTGGATAATTCATGGATAGACTTACAGAATGAAAAGGTGGTTGATGACTTCATTTATTCTTTACAGCTTCACTGTAAAGAGCCCATGTCACTAACTGAGCAATTATCACCAAGTAAACAACTAGATTCTTGAATTCCATTGTTTGTTGTTATCTTACTATAAACACTCGACATGGTGGAAGCCTACATCAGCATCTTTTTTTTTTTAAATAAGATTAATTTTTATTCTCTTAAATATGTTGGCATTCTTACCTTGAAGGACTCATTTTAGGGGAAAAGTGACCTGACATACTCATGTGTCGGCTGGTGCTCATGGTCTCTCCTCTGAAGAATATAAAGTGTATCCTTGTGCAAATTTGTGTTCCTCCAAAATGTTAGTCTCCTTACCCCCAATGTTACAGTATTTGGAGGCAGAGTCTTTGGGAGGTGATTCGTTTAGAGGAGATCATGAGGTTGAGGTCCCATGATGGGATTAGTGTCTGCATAAGAAGGAGACATGCAGAGCATATTCGATCTTTCTCTCCTCCATGTAAGGACACAGCAGGAAGCCTGCCATCTGCAAGCCAGGAAGAGAGCACTTACCAAGAACCGAAGGAACCAGCACCTTGATCTTGGGCTTCTTAGCCTCTAGAACTGGGACGAATAAATCACTGTTGTCTAAGCCACCCAGGCTCTGGTATTTTCTTATGGCAGCCTGAGCTGACTCACAGTGCATAGGAGCCCATTGGGTTAATGAGCACTAAGGAGGGATAAAATGGTTTCCATTTTCTTGTTTTTCTCAGAAGCACATATTGATCTTCACTTGAACTTCTGTGTCAGAAATTGCAATAATAAAACTATGTAGCATGGGTAATACAGTATAAAAATAGGGCCAAGATTTGTGAGTGACAAAAGGTTTCCAGAGATGCATACCAGTGCCCCTTTTAATTTTTAACCAAATACATTTTATAAACCAAATACATTATGGTAATGAGCTGTGTAGCCTTTAGGTTTTCTTTATAAAGTCTGGACTCACCTTTCCAATCAACATCTTGGAAAAGTCAGAAATGATTCCTTGCCTCCAGGTTCTCCTATGGAGTGTCTTCCTTGTTTCCCCCAACCTGAAGGGATTGGCTATTATTTTCCATTAGCTAGCAAATTTTCAGAATCAGGTGCGCTTCAGAATCATGTCCATGTGTGTGGTGGTGGTGGGGTGGGCGGGAGTATGCTGATGTCCAGATCCTCCAAATCTCCTGAATCAGAATTGCCAGTTGTGGTGCCCAGATTGTGTAAATCGAAAACCACCCCAGAGCTTCGGCTCCATACCAAACTTGACACCCATAGACCAGTGTTCTTTTTCACTGATACAAATATTCAAGTTTACTACTTAGGTGGATCTTTCTATAGGCGATATGTGTGATTTTTTTTAAATGGATAATTTAATTATATAAATGGAAATCCACTTAAGATATTTTGGGCCAGTGGTTTTGAGAGGGGCTTATCAGAACACTTGTCAGAACTTTTCTGCATTTGTATGAGTTCCCTTTCTCCTCTACCATAGTCCCTCATGTTTAGTTTCTCGGTCTGTCTGTTTTATTTGGATTAGAAAAAAAAAAATGGCATTTCACAGAGTTAAGGCCATTTCTTTGCAAACAAATACAATAGGAATTTATACTTTAATATGAAAAGTCATTTATTAGAGTAAATAAATGCCCCTCCCTCCAATGCGTTTGTCCTATTTGCATGTTCAATAATAAGACCACGTGTTACAAACATGTTTAGACATCTAAGTACATGCACAGATGGAGAATATCAAGCTTGCAGGAAGGGGTCATCCTCCAAACATGGACAGTCAGTGGAACTGGCCTCTGTTTTTTTCTGTGGAATATGAAAGTCAGACTTGAGTGTGGGAGGTTTAGGGAATTCTTGTCCCAAGCCTCCTAGTTTCTATCAGCCACTGGCTCTGACACAGTCGTTTTGATTTTTAGAGGCCTTACAAGTGTTCTCTGGAGGGTGGGTGGGAAGTGGATTGGGGAGGGGGCCTCCTTATCCCTTGTTTGACCAGTGGATTGTGGGATAGACTTGTCATTTGGAAAACAGCTCGATTTATCCAAGGGAGGTAACGGTGACTCCTAGGACCCAGCCCACTCCGTAACACCCCAGAGGACTTTCTTCTGAGGTTTACAGAATAAACTGACTGGTGATCAGCTACATGAATGAATACGTAACAACTATGGAAAACAAACTGTTTTTAATTGTGAGAGAAGTCCATGGAAGACACTATGTGGAGGGGGGTGGAAGAGGAACGTGGGAAAACGAAAGGAGAAAGTTTGAGCTAGAGTACTAATTTTAGAACCAGAGATGTGGATTAGAATCCACCCTTACTGTCTTGTGCCCTTCATGGAGTTACTTCATGCCTCTGGGCGAGTCTTCTCATACATTCTATGGGATTAATCCTCATACATTCTGTGGGAATAATACCTTTCTCACATGGTTGTCATAGAGATTTGCTAAAGCACGTTCCGTAAAAGACTTAGTGAAATTCTGGGAATAGAGGAGTTTTTAACACAGTACGTATGAGCTAACAGCACTATTTCTGCTGGTAGCATAGTGTGCTGGTTACCACCACATGCTTGCCAGGCCAGCACACTTTGAGTCCCTTTTTGATTTCAGGCAGAATGACTGGTCCTGGCATTCCTAGCACTATGGATTACTAACAATTTAAAAGAATTTGTTGAGATCTCTTAAATTAATACTCTTATCATCGAAGCATAGATTTCACCTCTCTTTTCCTGACTTACGAACTGAAATTTGCTAATTCTTGCCTCAAGCTTACAAGCATTCTTCCTAGTTTATCAGAACTATTAAAAAAAAAATCCCTCAGAAAAAATTAATGTATGTAAGAAAGTAAGGAGTCTTTGCAACAATGTTTCATTTTATTATTATATTTTCTCTTTCCTGGAAAACAATGAAGAATGGCAGTTTTATATGTAAAACAGTAGTTAGCCTTTATATGGATGACATTTTCCTAAAAGCCTAAAAGTATTTCACATTTTGCAGAAAAACACCCCGTTCCCAAGTTGGATCTGATTAAAATTCAAATCTATATTAACATCTCATTACTTTCTGAAAAAGTGAATGCCACACTTAATGGAAAATGCTCAGTGTCTGCTACTCTGTTTTGTAGGTTCCTTAGCAAGACCGTCTTAGGACCCAGGAGAGCTGGGTCACAGTGACATCCTTGTTAAAACAGTCACCTGGCCGGAATGCTAGCCCTCAGTTTTCCTTCCTTTCCCCTCTCCCATCCCTACATTGTTTCAGCTGCCATCCCCCTAATATTTTCTCTTAAAGCAAGGGAAAAGGAAGGGCAAAAAGGACTTTGAAAGAATAACAGTTCTTTCTATGGTCTTAAATAGAGCACTCAACACAAAACATCCTGTGTTTTCTTTTAATTGATGGCACTCCAAATGTAGGGATGGGTGAACTAAACCAGGACTTGCTTTTCAAATAGGCATTATTTTGGTTCCATATTATCCTATCGAAGGAAAGTTGTTGGACTATTTAAAATTACAAACTTGCCCCTTCCCCTACACGCTCCGGGTCTCCTTATCTTGCTGTGCCTTCCCCCCGCATCCCGCCCCCCCCAGTCTACTTATTGCCTTCTAGCTTGTGTTTATTACGTATTTTGGTTTATTCTTTGACTCCCCTGGCCATCATGGAAGCCATGACGTCTTTGTCTATTTCGCTCACTGTTGGTTTCTCTGTTTTAAAACCAGTGCCTGGCACAGAGTAGGTACTCAATAAACATTTGCAGCATGAATGAATGGACTGGTTTTCATACGTGTCCTTTCCCATACAATTATGGGAAAGAAAACTGGTAAAAATCAGATTCCAACATTCTATAAATATGTTTATACCTAGTAGATATATTTGAGAATATAGTTCTGTTTGGAGTTTACATATTTTAGTCGGCAAAGAAAAGATAGAAGAGTTGGATAAGAAAGAAATATCTCCTTGCTACCCTCCACCCTCGTACACTGCTTTATTTTTCTTTGAAGCCTGACTCCCCTACCCTACTGCCCTCCAACACGATATCTTTGTTTATTGTCTACCTCCCTTCACTAGACATGAGCTTTCTAAGGGAGGAGCTTGTGTATTTTGCTCACCGCTATAGCCCCTTTTCTTAGACTAGTGTCTGGCACAGAGTGAGCATTGAACACGTATTTGTTGAATAAGTAAATGTCTGGATGAATGTATTTGTTGTAGACAAACTGGTCCTGACTTCTGTAGGTTCCACAGCACCATCAAACGCTAGGACCTTGGTGCTGCTGAGGTGGATGATGGTTAGGGAGATGAGAAAGGGAAAAAGATGACCAGGATGACACTGATATTATAAGTTTTCCATTCCTAGGGAAACAGAGGCCCCATTCATCGTATATGTGTGGTATGACATGAGCCTAGGGACCATGGTTTGGATCCTAGACCATCTGTCTATTTTCAGAATAAACAAATGATTTCTTGATTTCATGATGTCATATTTTCACTGTCTGTAAAATTAAAAAAAAAAATGTTACCCAATCTATGGGACAGTGGAGGATAGAAAGGGCTTGATACATAATAGCTGGTCGGTAAATGTTAGCTATCTTCATCATCATTATCATCATTATCATCTTCCTTCTCATCCTGGGACTGACAGCCCAGCTTGTGGGCCAACTCCAGCCCGTGGCCTGCTTTTGTAAACACAATTTGACTGGAACACAGCCATGCCCATTCATTTTCTTATTGTCCATGGTTGCTCTCTCACTACAACCGCAGAATTAAGTAGTCACAGGAGACTATTTCCTGCAATGCCTAAAATTTACCCTCTATCCTTTTGCTGAAAAAGTCTGTGTACCTTGCTCTAGAATATAGTGTATCAGTAGTAAAGCAGCCCATGGTCCAGCAAAATGTGGTCCATGGGCCAGTGTGTGATCCATGAACTGTTCCTGACCCACGACAGAGTAAGCACAGAAAACAAGAGTTCAGTGTCTAGAAATATTTATAAAATTCTGATGTGCTGTTGACATTCAGGTGCATGATTTTGGTTTATACAAAAGTGTTGGTTTAGGACAGATTAAAAACAACAACAACAAAAACCTCTTGTCCTTCCCACTGGAAAAGAATCTGGTGTTTTGTAATGGGATTTTGCTGTCTTGGTAACTTAGTTAGATATACTTGGTGTGGTTTCAGATGGGAACATCTGGGGGCTCATCAGGTGGGAGTGACGAGCAGGTCCTGAGATGGCAAGTGACCTGGGAAGGTTGATGGTGAGCCCATTGATAACGTCACGCAAATGGATTTTATATGCAAATGGATGGGCCAGCCACAGCTTGCTTATCAGCTAATACAGTTGTAACGTGTCCTTCATATCTGAGAGAAGGCGGCCACCTTGGGATATTGTGTATGTCTCACGTACATATATAAATGAATTCCTTAAGCGTATTTTAAGTTGATAATTCATCTTCTCTGAATAGTAAGCCAACAACTTTCCTGGAAATCTAGCAAAACAACAGCTCTATGACCAGCCTTATGTTTTGTTGCATGTGCGTTAAAAAAAGCAGACTGACTCTTTCCTTTTCTGTTTTAGAATCAGTTCCAAACAGTAAGGCGT